GCCGCCGCCGCCGCAGCAGCATGGTGGTGCCGCCGCTGCTGCGCGCCGTCATCATGGGGCCCCCGGGCTCCGGGAAAGGCACCGTCTCCGCTCGGATTATCAAACACTTCGGGATGAAGCACCTCTCCAGCGGCGACCTGCTGAGGGACAACATGCAGAAGAGGACAGGTGGGAACGGGGATGGCCCGGAGCCGGGGGGGCGGGAACCGGCCCCACGCAGCCCGGCAGGAAGCTCCCGCGTGACACAGCCCCGCTCCGCCGTGGGGGGGACGGACACGGGCCTTCCCCCCACACCCCGCTCCTTCCCCTTCTCCCACCCACCCACCGCTCCCCGTCCGGGAGGCCCCTGGGGGGCTTCTTGCAGGGGGTTTGCTGCTCCCCAGTCCCACCTCTATGTGCCCCCCTCCCCGCCCGAGCTTGGGCGTCTTCACGCAGCTCTTCCTGGAGGCCAGAGGCCACCGAAGTGGGCCTCAAGGCTTCGGCCGAGGATCCTCTAAAAGCTGTCACTTGGCATCCTCTTTGTAAGCGTGAACGGGGCATATCTGGGGTTTATCCCATTTTCCTTGTTTTGTAACACCTAATTGTTTCCTCGTCTTGGTGCTTTTTGTAAGCACCCGGTGCTTTTTGTAGTTGTTTCTGATAGTCTTCCAGCTGAAACATCTTGAAAGGGGAAAATATTCATGTTTTTAACAGGGCAAGAGGAGGAGTTCTGGGCAATCAGACTTTTTCGGATCTCAGATGGCTAGAAGTAGAGGCACCTAGAATTACCAGCTGTTCCAAAATTAGAAGGCCTTGTCCCGAACTGGCAGACATACTGTAGTGGTGCTTTCCAAAAACAATGGACAAAATTTTCAAACTGCTTACGTTGTGCTTTTAAATTATCATTATCTTACAACAAGTTCATACTGTGCTTCGGTTGCAGCATGATCTGTATTTGCATACAGAGTTGCTTGTATTAGGTAATGATGTGCATTATACTTACTACATAGTCCTAGCTTGACCTCTGGTTCTCTGTTGAGATACCACTTCTCTCCGGTGGATTTTTGCAATGATGAAAGGTCCCCTCCTGACTTCCGCATCTGCTTTTCTTCACCGTGGGGTCAAAAACCTTATAAGAACCATATCAGGTTGCATGTGATGAAGTGAGAGTATTGTTATTTCCAGCACTTAGAAGCTGCGGAGGACTACATTCACTTGTAAGTATCACTGCAATATTATCGTTAGGTAACTGGCAGACATGGTTTTGGAAGCTTATAAGCACGTTTGAAAGTGAAAAATTGCCTGTATTATGAAATCAGTTGTGATGGGATGTGAGTTCCACATCTCTTTTCACACGAATTCTGTTTGCTCTGGAAGAACAATGACTTTGGCTTAGTTGCCTGACATTACTACAGTTGATATGTACAAGTTAAACATTTGCTAGGAGCACCACCTGTGCAGGCATATTGGATCACATTCATGCTTTTTCTGCCTGTTTTGTTGTGCAAACCTAAGTTGTTATTTACAGAGAGTCACAAAACCAAAGTTGTTGCTGTTACGAACTTTCAGTGTAACAAAGACCTAGTGAGGAAGGAAGGCATTCTAGAAGATGAAGGAAATACATTATTTACTAAGTACTTTAGGTTTTGGGCTTTTCCAATATGTCTTGGAAGCAAGATCAAAGAGAACCAGAATCAAGATGAAGGGTGTGTGAGAAGAGGAAGTTGCAAGTGGAAATACCCCATTGCTTGATTTGAGGAGGGAGCCATGAAGAAAAGTGATTCGGCAAAGTGTTCTAGGTGGGTTGGGCAGATGAAAGAACGTGAAGGAGAAACAAGATGTGAAATGAAAGTGTAGCAGACATGTTAAAACCCTGAATGTGAGGAGAGAAGCCAGTGGAGGGTGTAAGAGATGATGAATTTTGCTCTAAATTAGCTAGCGTAGAACTTAGAGGAATCTGCTACAGAGTTTTTAATTCACTAATTAACCCCGATGAAGCTCTGTTTTAATTTTATTGAAAGTGAGTCACTCGTTGCAGAAATGGTCTGCAAAGGATTGAGATGAATACTGAGGTAGCAGGAGTAAGTATTACACTGAAGGAGGGAGAAGGACTGAGAGGCAACTCAGAGAGCTTTGACAAATTTAGTCGAGGCAAAGAGTTTGAGTTTTGTTTATAATAGAAGAGTCCTGCAATTCCCAGTTCTTTGGGAACTGTGTTAGGCTAAGTTGGGCAGTTAAAACACTTGGAAAATTAAATATAATTAACAGTAGTTATACGGTGCCATTTTTGGCATTTGCTGTCTTTGAAAATGGACTTTGTCTGTTGAAAAGTCCTGTTGAACATGTGAGCATCCTTAGCAATTTGCAGTTATTACCATGTTCTGCTGCTTTGGAGAGCGGAGAGTCTGTGACCGCCTCTCTAACGCTAAGCAACCTGTTGTCTGAATATGGCTAGAGCTTGTTTGCTGTAATGTGGTTAGGACATGCCAATTGTTTGCAAAACCATGAAACTTGGATACCTGTTATCACCTAGACAGGAAAGAAACCTGTGTTGCCTTTAATTCCAAAGATTGCTATGCCTGTAGTGGTTTCAGACCCAAACTGAAAAAAACAGAACAAAATAAAACCAACCAAACGTCACGAAATCCCACCCCCAACAACGGGGGGGGATGGGGGGAGGGGGGAGAAGAAGCTATGGTCTAGCATATAAACTTTTTGTCCTAACATATAACTATTTGGGTACAGTTGTGCCTATTTTTTTCCTTTTGTAATAGTGACTTTCTAAACTACCTGAGGTTTGTAGAGAGAGGCAGCATGTTTGCAGCTCTGTTGGTCTAATAATAGGACCTTACAGCTTGCCATACTCTAAACCTCTCTGGGCCTAAAAGCTCTTCTGTCCTTCTGAAGTATGTTAGTACCATTCTCTATCAACCTTGCCTTGCGCATATTCCTAGATCATTGTGGCTAGAGCAATGCTGCAGTGTAAATCAGTAACAGATCCAAGCATCAAGTACACATTAAACTATCGTGATGTAATTTATTCCTCCTCCCAGCCTACTTTTGCAGGGTACGTAGTTCAAAGCGCACTAGAATAATAAAAGAGGTATGACTTGCTGACCTCGAAGATGGGAGGTAGGGAAAAGAATAGACACTTTGTACCCAGGCAGACTGTCACCTTCTTTCCAGTTTGTGATGTGCTGGAGGACTCAAGCACTGGAGCCTGACTCTTCTCCACGTTGTGAGGATTATTTGAAGTCTGACCAAGGTGCACAGTGCCTATTTCTAAATGGTCTTCAAACTTTTCAAAGCCTGACTATAGATGTGAACACCCAATAAGGGGAAATTGTCCTTTTATCACGTATATTTTTTTCAGCACCAAAGCTACTGTTTGCATTACTTCACGGCATTTACTGCTTTTCAGTTGCCTTGTGTGAAGAAGGGCCTCCGCACTATTGCACGTTCCAATACTGCATCAAGTGATGGTACTGGCATTCTTCATTGCTCTCTGCTGAAACTGGTTTTATCTTGTGTTGGTATGTCAGTCCATCCCATTTTCTCTTCTGTTTAGTTTACTATAACTAGATCTGAATTGGCTGCAAGTAAAGGCTTCTGCAGATCCACAATAAAACCAGCCTAGCTCCTATTCTGGGTGACTTACATAATCCGGTAATTGTTTTATAAACGAAGGCCATGGAGACTTTGTGTCTGGGACACAACCCAGGCAAATTATTTTCTTCCCAGCTATATCCATGATTTGGGTGAAATACAGCATGCTACTGCCTGTCATGTAGGAGCATGGTGTGATATCCGGAACTGTGATGCGTGGATGGCATTTTAGCGAGCCAGTGGACTAAATGACTGGTATTAAAGGTTAGTCAGTTCCATGGGAAAATACTACTGTCTGCGCACTCCCATAAATAGTTTACAACATCTATAAACATCCTCTTGTAACTCTAGTAATCATAAAAATACGTATCTGGCAAGTGTGTCCCACTGCATATTGCTCTCTTAAATACCAATGGCATTTCTCTTTGTAGTGAAGTCGTAAGTTAATAACTAGCCACTAAGCTGAGAAAATAACTTTCTTGACAGGAAATCTGAGGGCTGATGTCTTAATGAACTTGTATCCTTTATATTTCTTCTTTTGAAGACTTTTACCTAATGGCCTCTCCCGATTTTAGTTTTTGGAACCTAATATTTCAAATACTTACTAGTAAAATTATTCAGAGGGTGTGGGATAGAGGTGTGCTGAATGCCCTGTTGCCATCCCTGAAACTACAGACCAATCAAATTAATCTGATGCATATTTGCATGATCAGATCCTAATGGATCATCTGTTTTTGAATTTCAGCAAGCATACTGTCTGTCTTGTTTACAACTTTACTGTTCTGTGCCATCCTGATCAACACAAATTTTTTTCAGGCTTGTGGGCTTTTTTTTGGCTTGCTGGTGGTCAGAGATAGTTTATTGCGACTTCTCTTACTTTCGCAGAAGTTGGAATCCTTGCCAAGTCCTACATTGATCAAGGGCGGCTTATTCCAGATGACATCATGACACAACTAATGCTGAATGAGCTAAAAGGTCTAGATCGGTACAACTGGCTATTGGACGGTAAGTTAGCATATTGGATATCACTCTATAAGGAGAGAAAATCTGCACTGGAAAGCTTGGAGTGCTTTGATCAGTTGTGGGTAGCAATGCTCCAGTAGCCATCCTCAAGTCGTAGTAACCGGACAGTATTTGTTGCCAGCTTGTTGTGAAACCTTCAGCAGTTAGTCTGCCCCAGTTTCTTTGGCTGTAAAATGCTTTGGGTGCATCCCGCCTTCAGAGCATTACAGGGATGTTTAATTCATGTTGAAAAAGGTAGTTCAACACTCCAGTAAAATTTCAAAACTGGCAATTCTGCTAATTCTTACGCTTTGTCTCCCCTTTAAAATATGCAGTGAGAAGTTTCTTTTCGTAAAGCCTTTTCTTGTTAAAATCCTTGGGGAATGGAACACTTTTGAAGAATGGGGCTGAGGAATTATTTAAATAGAAAGGTAGGTATGCGATGCAGCAACAAGATAAGTATGGAAAGCAAGGACTGCAGCAGTGCAGTGTGTAATAAATCACTAACAAAAACACTGCTTAAGTGCTCTAAAAGGTCTCTTTCATTTGCTCTTTGGTTCTGTTCTCTAGAGTGAACTGTTCAGCAATTCTGCAGTGTAAGCTCATTGCTCCAGCATTCCCGGTAGAGAGAAAATGCATTTGCCGCTGTCTTCGTGAACTGAATGGCTCTTATTACCCCAGGCCATGGGACTACAGTTGGATCCACAGCACAAAGATAGTATCTAGGCTGGATGTGTGTGTTTTCGGACTCTAGTCACAACCTGTCTCAGTAGATAAAACTAAAAAGTTGTTGGTGTGGCTTTTTATTTAGAGGGCGTGAAAAATCCACAGTGCTCTCTGTCCCTTAGTGCTTTATTATAATTGCTTCTAGTACAGTGATCTGTTCTGGTGGCTTTAGTCACAGTTATGTTCCTCCTTAGTGAAGACAAAGGCTTAATCCCCACAGGGAGCAGCACAATGAAACCTAATCAATAAAGGAAAGAGCTGCAGATGTGTTTTTTTTTCTTTAGTTCCAGGTCCTGTGCACACACAGTTCCAGCCTTGTGGATCTGGATGTGTAGCAGTGTAGCTGGGCACACTGGCAACTCTTTAACAGGAGGATGGTGTGGAGACCGTAAGAGAATAAATCAATTGCTGCTGCATGTTAACGTGCTACCTTCTTTAAACTTTTGGAGCAGAAATTTTGTCTACATCAGCACTTGTAATGAGACTCAGTGAATTACACCAGGGAAAGCTCTGGCATAATCGGCTCTGTAGGAACAATACTGTTCTGTTGAAATACGTTAACCAGAAAGTCTTTAGTTTGATAACTGCAACTCAGAACAAACAGCTGAGGTCAGCTAGGTCAAGCTAAATAGAGTTGCTGAGCTGCTTGTGTGCTCGCTTAGCCAAATACCCCTTTCCACTGCCTTAGGATAGGTTGGTGACTTCTGGAGTCATAGCAGATGTAGCAGTCTGGGTCATGTGTGTGCGTGTGTGTATGATCTGCTTAGACTTATGTGCTGTATAATTAGGGCACTTTTCCCTGTGTTCTTGGATTCTTCATAATTCATCACATCTTGTAGATTGTTTTTTCTGTATCGAGAAAACACTGTATGCAGCAAATGCTGGTTCAGTTTCAATGAAATGCTTTTGTAAAGGCACTTTAATTTGTTGAGGAAGTTTCTCATTACTAAGTCCCAAAGCAAACTCATTTTACAGCTGCATAACTAAGATGTGTCGTGGCTGACTAGCTTGTCAATAGTAAGAAAGAACAGAGTGCTGGAGTCCTGGCTCTCCCTCTGCTCTTTCTTAACATTTAGAAGCACTTCCATGAGGTAGTATGAACATGAGAGAAATAGGATGAGGGCAGTTAATGGCTGTGATGCAAACCAGGTGCATCAGACTTAATGCACAAGCAAGAGCTTGGTCTGAGTTAATCAACTCTTACTTTTTGTGATGTGTTAGACAAGACACAGTAGCCTTAACACCATAATTTATTTTTTTTCCTGTTGTAAGGCTAGTTCTTGGCTGGTTCTTTACTCAGGCAATGGACTCATCAACCAATGCTATGCAAAGAAGAGTTTCTTAAGTTTGTGCCTATCAGTACTTGCCTTTATGGAGAAGTTTGCTTGTATAGTGTGATGAAAATTACAAGCTACTGAAGAACATGAGACTTCAAGAGCTTTGTGGGTAGAGGTATTATTCCAGTGAATCTGTGGTGCAATAGCATGTTCTGCAGTAGCTTTGACCACTGAAGTTCTTGTGGTCAATTTTTCATTTTAAATTCTTTGTGGAGACCTTGGTTTTCTTGTTCTCTGTTCCCCCTGCTGAAGTTCCACTAGATTTCTCTAGTAGCAACATGTGCCTTTGAAGGCACGCTACCGGAGCTGTAGAGTTCTTGGGACAAAATGCAGCATCTTTTAAGTGAATAGACAGATTCCTGTTCAGCCTGAGTGTTCTCACAGTCATCATCCCCGAGGATAGTTTGATATACTGGACTTCCCAGAACTCTTTCTAAAGCTACTCTTTTCTGTAAAATTAATCCTGGACTGCCTCTGGTAGATATATTGGGCTTACTGCAACTGAATAAAATAAGGAGGTGACCATTACAAACCTAAGCCAGACTTACACAACTGTGGAAGTAAGAGTTGTCACAAATGTTTCTAGGTTGTTCCAGACCTCTAAGTGAACTGCCTGTAGCTTTTATTGTTCGAAATGTGTATACTAATGCTTTTATTCAATATAGTGGTATGTAGTACATATGGGTATGGGGTCTTCTTGCATTTATTTGTTACATTTTTGGGAAGATGATTAGCTGAAATGAGGAAATGGAAGCTGGGAGGCGTTTAACAAGTTAAAGTGCCGTGACACACTGAAAAATACTTGGAAAATCTGATGTCTCTTCAACCTTCACAGTATGATGGTGCCTTTTTTTTTTCCTGTTTGACAATTATTTTCTCTAATGATTGAATCCAGATAATTCTCGCTATAACTCTGCCTTTGGATTTTTATGGAGTTGTTTTCTTTAAAAAGGTTTCCCCAGAACGGTTGCTCAGGCAGAAGCTTTGGATAAAGAATGTCAAATAGACACTGTGATTGACCTAGACGTGCCATTTGAGACCATAAAACGTCGGCTCACAGCACGTTGGATCCACCCTGCTAGTGGCAGAGTCTACAATCTTGAATTCAGTCCTCCCAAAGTACAGGTAAGCAATACATGTCGGTGTTGGTGCTAAATAAATGTTACATTGCATTTGGTAATTGCAGTAAAATACTGTTTGCATATGTTGTTGCAAAACACTAGCTCAGAAGGAAAAGGCTCATTTCATGCCTTAGGAGCGCAGAACCTTTCTGGTAACACCCTGCCTCTGAGGGTATGTTAGAGACCTGGTAGAAGCTCAGGCTGATGGACAATGTGTTTGTCCCCTGCAGAATGAAACGCTATGATGTTTTGTAAGCTCTTGTTAAAGCTGTTCACTGATCTGGAATACTCTGTCTTGCACACTGGCATAGGAGTTGGGCATGTTCTTAGCCTGTTCTGCAAGTTTGCAGCCCGTACAGTCCAAAATGTAGTTTCTTTTTCCTTCCTCCAGAGGAGTCATTCTTTGTATCTAGGAAGCACCCCGAATCATCAGTCAGAGGAATCCATTTAATGCTTTCCCTGTGTTTACATTTAACCAGGACAGGTATTTTCAAGGGAACAATTGTCGTATTACAAAATTAGATGTAGAAACTTGCCAGTCAGGGAAGCTTCTCAACAGATCAAAGAGGTTATAGCTTGAGATATCCTAAAGAGGAATAGCAAACTTGAAGATAATGATTGTACATCGTTACCTTGAGATCTTTGAGGAACTTTAATTAGCCTTAGTGCAACTCAGCTTAAGCTGTATTTCATCCTTAACTCTAAATAACTTCTCTGTTGTGGCATCACATTTCACCTGGAAGCTCTATTAAGTTACACCAGCAGCATAGCAGGCCTTGTAGTTTTTTGGATTTCAGTGTTGCAGGAGAAGAGGCCAGGTGAAATGGCAGGTAAGCACTGGAAGTGAGCAACTGGAAACACTGCCTTTGTATTGTTTAAAATATGGTGTTTCAAGTCATGGTTATTTTTAATTGCAGAAGAGCATAGGCAAGCTGCAACAGAGAATTATCAGACCTACCAAAGAGTGGGCTTCAGCTGCAACAACTTTGCTATTAGGAACACTCCACTCTACCTTCCACAAATTAGCAGGCATATAACAACGTAGTAAAGTAGATTGCAGTTTTTAAGTGAAACCATGGAATGGAGCTGAACAGCTGAAATACAGTTGTCTCTGTTATCTAATAGACCTGCAAAATGTTCACTTACTCAACAGAATCAAAATATTATGGCTTTAGAGTTAATGCAAGGCTGAAGACTAAATATTTGATAGTACGATGAGGGCACTAGTATGGCTGCCTGCACAGATGCTAGAAGGAAACACTTGAGTGCTTTAAATGATTGTATTATGTAAACAAGGTAAGTTTGACCATATAAATCCATCTCTAATATGATACAGATGTTTGGAACAGATTTTCTTCACACCTTCATGAACAGAGAAGCTTACTGAACATTGATGGTTATTGATTTTCTGAAACTGACTGCCAGAATGCAAGCAGGAAAGGAAAACATTTTTGTGGTCTAATTGGCTTTGTATTTGCAAGATTACTCATGTTTCCACTCCAAATGTCAGATTAAACTTGGCTTTAGGGAAAATAAAAATTCTTGAGGATTTAATTAATATGTACAAAGGAGCAAAGAATCCCTTATATCTGTGATGGGTCGTATTCTGTACTCAGATGCACAATGATTCAATGCACCAAAAAAGGAGCCAACTTTTATGCCACTAGCTAGTCCTTCATAAGATATGCCAGCAGTCAATAATTTCTTCAGTCATTGCTGGTTTCAAGGCTTAAAAGCTCCATAATCAGTTAAAGCACTTCAGTAAATTGGAGGTGAAATGTGCAGTAAAGTAGGAGCTGTCACAGTTTACACATTAGGTCCCTACCTCTGTTTACTGAATCCTAGAAAAACTTGAGCTGGCTTTTATGCCATTTTTTGCACAGTTGTTGCTAAATAATAACTCTTCCGTTTTGCGACTTAAAATCAAAGGGCCATTAACTCCTTTCCCCATTTCAGTATTGTCAAACAAAGGTCCAATTGGCCTCTTGCTTGTTTCCTGCTATGCAGGAACATTATACCAACAATATTGTTTTCCCTCATATGTGAAGATTTTGTCTACATATTCCCCATATTCAACGAATGTTCCAGAAGACAAATCAGTCGAGTTAGTATGACCTAATGTTCATTGCCAATACTGAGAAAATATTTTTAACTGATGGACTGTTTTACTGGAAAGTCAACATCTTATATTCCAGATAAGATATGAGCAGTAGCCTTTCTCTTTATAAGCAGAAATCTACACTTTGACTAACTGGAAACTGATCATAATTTAAACAGAAAATTACACAAACACTTAAACAGAAATAAGAAATATACACCAGTGTTTGCTTTTAACCATGATTAGGGCATTGATGATATTACTGGAGAGCCACTTGTTCAGCGTGATGATGATAAGCCAGAGACGGTTACCAAGAGGCTGCAGGCTTATGATGCACAAACAAAACCTGTTCTAGAATATTATCGGTAAGTAGTAAAAGCTATTCTTCCACATTCTAAAAGCTTCTTCCACATTAGCATAGCGAGGAACATATCTCTTCAGTTACAGAGATACTGCAACAGTGAATGTGGTATAAATAGCAGTGTATCTTTCATCAACTCAATAAGAAATCAACCCAGGAAAATGAGTATATTTTCCACTGTTGCATGAAACGCTCTTCAGGAGCCTGCTTAGCAAAAGAGCCTTTCACTGCAGCCATATTTAGTTTTACAAAGAGCGCTATGCATTATTGAATACATTATAGTACTGTTCTGAGCAACGTAGCTCTGGTTAGTGAGGTAACAGAGACAGTTCCTTTTTTTTGGAGGATTTAACAGTATTTTCTCTTATGGATGTATAAGTAGAAACCCTCCTAACAAGGGCAAGGGGTCAAGAAGGGATACGCAAATTGAAAAAGTGGCTGTTCTAAGAACAGGACTGTGACAGGCACAGCTAGCAAGACTCTTCGGGAATAAGTAGGTATTTGAGAATAATGCCATTTGCGCTGAGGAATGGTAACAAATTACTAGTTCTTTTAAGAGCCAAAATTACACACAAAGTTTCTCTTAATGTAAAGCTGCACATATTGCATTGCTAATATATAGATAATAGCAGGTCACCATGTAGAGCTTTGTAGTCTTATCTTGCCTAGACAAAGAAATCAGACTCTCTTTGACAACATCCTGAAGCGACTGTCCTTCCTCTGTCTCCGTATCCACCACCCTTCATTATGCTCTACCAAAACGGTTGAGCAGAAGACTAGAAGCTCCATCTTTGGGGTGGTTAAGTTTTAAAGAAGGAGTTTTTCTGGATTGATAATGATTTTTCTGACTTTGGTAGCTTTCTGAAGTGAAAATGCCTCAAAGCATCACAGTAAGACATAGGCCTAAGCTATTATTATTACTGATAATAACATACTTTACAGATAGAAGTAGCTAGTAGAACTAATTCAGAATAACGTGATTGTGCCTGGTTCACTTGCTTGTTCTGATGCACCTTCTTTGATCCTTGAGGTGTAATTTTACAATACCTGGGTTAGTTGCAGTTGTTTGGATAACTGCTGTATAGCATGTGCTTTATGACTGCATTGCTGCTTCTTATTTTTACCCTTCATAGTTTGTTATTAAGTACTCTGTGGACAGCTGTCAGTTTTACAAACTGATGTGGCCGATAGCTCACTGTTTCAGGAACAGAGTAATGCATATCCAGCCTACATTCCCAATGTTACGGCTGTTCCTGGTGTTAAATCACATGCATATTTGCACACTCCTGTCAGGGCAATCTTAAAGTGAGGCGGAGACCCTGGAACAGTTAATTTGACTTCTGTAATGCTTTCTTTTTTTTTCTTCCTTAGGGAAAAAGGGTTATTGAAATCCTTCTCTGGAACAGAAACCAATAAGATCTGGCCACATATTTATGCCTTCCTCCAAACCAAGTTGCCAGATGTGAGCCAGAAAGATGCTGCTACTCCCAGGTGAAAATAGGTCTAACTTCTGCTCATCTGTCATAGCTCACACTTGATTACATGAGATTCAGCAATCAAGGATTTCTCTAAGTAGTCTACCAGACTGATCAATAATTAAAGGCTAATGTTGTCCTTTAACTTACATTATGATAAAACTTGGTTGCCTGTGGTTCTCACTTTAATGCTGTGTTTTTTATATTAAATATACCTAATTTTTATAATATAGTAACTGACTTTGTAACAAAAGCAGCTACTCTTGTGTCTCTTATTCAGAAAGTATTTATGTTTGCAAATATTGACAGGTGAAGGAAACATATTTCAGAATACAGCTTAATTACAAAGCACATCGATTGATTTACTCATTCATGAGATGTAGTGTGAAGCAATGATAAGGACACGAAAGCACATTTCTTGAATGTGTGATTAGTTGGGGCCAGCCAGAAGCTGTGGGAGCCACGACCGCAATTCTGCAAAAAGCCATTTCAGACCAGAATTGGCATACGTATAGGTTGATCTCATGGAAGACAGTGACCTTCTTTTAGCTTTGCTTGCACAGATGGTAGCTGATTTTGCTGGGCTTAAATTACCCTTAACGCTTGCTTGGATGATTAGCCTTATTACTATGTTTATATTTCTGCCCTCAGAGCTACTATCTTGCAGGCATGAGAAATGGAGTTTCAATGATGTGTGACATACTTGATAAAGCCTCTGTCTTTGTGCAGCTCTATAAGACTTTATTAGTAAAAAGACAGCAGATATTGAACAGATTAAGTGTAATCTGGTAAGCCTGTAGCCAGATGATCTTGACTAGAAAATGTCTTTTCTACTATCTTTGAAAAAACAACTGCTCATTGATGCTAGTGCCAGGATTTCCAGTGGTCAAATTAATAACTTTGTCATATTACTGTAGCAAGTTTTATTGTAGCAATTGGACTGGTTTTCATGAGTTCATACTACTAATTCATGTCTCTGACCAGCTCTTGTATTTATTTATTCACTAGATAACCGGAGTTAAAAACCTCCACAGGCCACACTTTTTAACACTCCAGGTAACGCAGACATTGCTATTTTTCAGTGAACTCTCCTAACCCTTTTTTATGCTCACCAGACTGAGAGTTTCAAGAAGAGTCAGCAAAACCTGAGGAACAAACAACTCTGTCTAGGAAACGTCTGAAGTAGCTGTGTCCTACTAATGCAGGCCCCAATCTCCTTTTGCAGTGACTGTAAACAACGACAGAGCGGTAGTGCTGATGTACCTTGGACTACATTTGCACATCTAGTTTTAGCATTATCAATATTGAGACACATTTGAGTCTAAAAAAGATAGTCGTTGTAGAATTTGTAAAGCTTTCCCATTACTATAAATGAACAATATGGGCAGCAGCTATCACTGCAAGCAGCTGTCCTTACATTTTAAAGCAAGCTTGCCAAAAGGCTGAGCTGACCACTTGTACTTCATCTTCAGAAATGTCTGTATGGAGGCTGTAGACTGAGTGAGTTTAGAGATGCACTTCCTTAAAAAAGTCATGGTTAGAAAACAGTAGCTACCACATTACAATGAGAAACCCTGATGTTTCTGCTGCTTACTTGTATTTATGCGTTTTGATTTCAACAAAAAGCAGCTATGCTTGGTTTTTTTGCCAGCCTATGTAATTTTCAGTGAGCTGGAAGGAGAAGGGGGAAGGAATCTCATTATGATTTGGCACTTACTCCCAGACCATCCAATTTTAGCCCCTTAGAAACTTTAAAAATAACTTTCAGTATATCACAGGTTGCTAGATCAATGTGGCTCTACAGCTAATGGTAGCAATTACAAGTCACTGTGCTACACTGCCCTTACTACCCTTGTATATATCATTCAGTTAAAAAACAACCTGTAGTTATTAGTTTCCCTTAGTTTCCCTTATTAATTAATTATTAAGGAGGAGGCAGTGTTTACTTATCCTCTCTGGAGTATCTGTCAAACAACAAAAAAAAAATTACTACTGAAGCAGGTTATCTCTAATTTGCAGCTGGGCCAGAGCTGCTGCTTGCTCCTTTATCCTCAGTCTGTCTGCAAAAGGACTGCTAGAGAACACAAGGCACATGAAAAGCTACTTCTATCAGTGGATCTGGAGTTCCTACTTTTGCTACTGCATTTGTAATAACGCTCACTCTAGTATATACTGCAGACTTAAGACTTTTCCCTATCTCTGCTATAGCCAAAGCTGAAAATTACTGGATCTCAGCACAGCTTTTGCCTGAATTAGCCACTGCAGGTAGACTGTGTTCATCAAACTATTGAAATCTAGATACCTTCCAGACCTTACATACAATCAGCACAATACAGTAAAGGACTGAGAGTGTGTACCAATACCATTATTTGAGATAAGAGCTGTCTTCACTGGAGTCTTCCAACTGCAGTATATATTTTTATAGATAGAACTGCTGTAATAGCTGCAAGTTAGAAAAGCACAGTAGAATTTTGGATTGCAGAGGTTCTGTGGAAGGCCTTGTCTAGGAACAGTATTTGGATTTCCAGCTCCTCAAACAGGAAGCTTTTAATGATTTTCCACTTTAATTGTTTGAGTTGGCAATGTCAGAAACCCACTTTAGTCGCATACGAAATACCTTTCAAACCCTGCATGACACCCTATATGAACTGCGATGAAGCTTTTTGTTTAAACTGAAGTCTTAGCCTAACCCTTGTACCTCAAGTTCCCTCCAACCCCTCCATCAAATACTTCTCCCCATAATGAGACAGTTTAAAAAAAAAATCTGAAGTTAGTCTTATGAACAAGAAGAGAGTTAGACTCTCAGAAATCACACAGCCCAGCACTCATATGTAGACGAGCATTGCTTACATTTTAGGACAAAACCAAGTTATGTTTAATGAAAGCACAATGTAACATTTAAATCCCCTTAGTAGAGGTAGAAAGCCAGTGTTTTAATCTAATCCATTCAGATCTGAAATACTGATACCAGATATTGATTTATTGCTATTAGTGATAACCAAATTTGAGAGCTTATAATGTCAGCAAGGTAGCATGAATACAGTTGTGATCTCCAATATTCATAGAGTAAAACATGTCCACATCTGTAGTAAGACAATAGCAGATTCTACCAAGAATCTGCCGCTTCTTGTAAACATTGTATTTGTGCAGATTTTTTTTTCATACTTTAATTTCTAAAGTCATGAAAGGCAAGGTTAGTAGCAGAAAACACATCCAGTTTCACATTCGGCAATATGAGAACCCTGCTCTGCAAGGACAACCAAAAACCTAGCAGCACATTTTCAAACAATATTACAAGTTTTTCTGAATTACCCACCCTTCAAAATCCCTTCCCCCCTAAAACCAAACAACAACAAAAATCTGACACCAAAAATAAAGTGCAGTACCCAGAAAAATAAGTGTCAAGAAAATAGCCATGTTTGTTTCTTTGAAAAAAAAAAAAAAGAAAAAAAAGAAAAAAAGAGTACTTGGCCTCACTCTTAAGAGTACTATACTGTGTCCATCATTTTGGATTCTTCTTCATCTCTTTGTATCACAGAGTTTAAACTGCAGACATCTGTGTTTATGGGACCTTGTAGATCACCTGTGTTCTGCAACAGATGGAAAATTGACAGCTTAATTCTCCATAACTGTGTATACAGCGTGAGAGAGAGAAAGAGAGAAACAGAGAGGTTTTTAGCTTAAGTTGGACTCTTTGTGTTATCCATCTTAAGATGAGACAAATTTGCAATAGTAAGGAAATAAGCTCTGAAAAATTCATCAACCAATATTATCTCACTGTGTCAAGAATTCTTTAAATTTGCTGGCATAGCTTGTATTTGGTCTCAATATTTCTGGCACTTGACTGCACATTTACTTAAAACTCAGCTGTTGGATCTTACTTGAGAGGTACTTTAATCAAATTATTTCAAATAAGTAGTTTCAATTGTGACTCCTTCCCTAATACCTAACTTTTGACAATCTTCTAAGTTGCTTCTTCATTCCAGAATGTGGCCATCACTAGTACTGTAACAAAAGACCTAAGTACCCTCAGTTTCCTTTTATCACAACAGGAGACTTTCCTTAGACTTGACTTACCTGAATGATCCCATGAATAGGGTTAGTCATTTTACACTGAAAGCTCATTTCACTGCTTGTGGTAAAGAACATGAATACAATTGTAGCATCTGATCAATTTTATGATGCAGTGTTTATTTTAAGCACGAAAATGTAAGGGCGGTGAACTAACATATGCTTTTGACGTTATGCTGATGCTTTCTGAATTCCAGCAAGTAAAAAGAAAGCCCATATATGCCTTGCATATTGATAATACTGCACGTTATATCCTGAGTACTAGCAGTTCTAGGAATAATCCTCTTTATATTTCAGAAAGGTACAGATTCTCAAGGCAGGACCTAGCCCTACTTTAGTTAAATTAATTTCTAGAAAGAATAAACCTACCTGTGAAAAAGATGACAGGTCTCCTACAAGACCAGGATTGACACTGAGATCATGTAGTAACATAGTTTGAAAGCCATGTGATTGTGACCAGATTCTCACTCTTGTCTTGAATGCCTCCAGTTCATTTTTAAAAGCCTCAAAATAGCCTTCTCCTGTCTGCAAAGAGAAAAATGAAATATTTGCACTTCAGCCAGATTTACTTTTGAGTTGTAAGCATACACAGTGCTGAGAAAACTCACTCAGTAATGCATGTTATACCCTTTGGGGAATAACAACTGTGAACAACTCAAGAATAATGGTAGTCAATTTAAAATGAAATTTCAGGTAGATTTCTTCTTAAGACAATCTGTAGTACTTATATGTAGAAGCAAAGTAATTGATTTATCTAAGGACATGTAAAAATAAATCTAATTTTAGCCTTTCCTTTATTCCAACTCAGAAGCCAGTACCCTTAGAAGAACAGGTGCTTGTTGTAGCACTCTGGTCAAAAGTAAAGCACAAATTGACTCGCACTTTAACTGAACTCCTTTAGGCAATATTGAGATCCATAAGTCTCTTGAATAACTGAAAACAATCTACAGCAAACCACAGTTTCAGTCTTCCTGCATTTCTCCTGCATAGCTCTGGATTGCTCTATTTCAGTAATGAGAAAGGGACACTATTTTGGGCCCCACTGTGAACTGCAGATGAAATGGAAAGTTGTGACAATACATAGGTACACTGTGAAAACACAGCTGTAATTAGCCAAAATCAGTCCTTAAACCGGTCTATGTTTGCTGTTGTTACTTAGTTATTACTTGTCTATAACATCCCTGTTGTCCCCCTGCTGTATCTTGCTTTCCCTCTGGGATAACTGAAATCCACTAACTTTTCATTTTCAGAATGGGAATTACACCAAAATATTCTGTCTAGAAGAGAATTGCTAACAAAACACCTTCCCATAAGCCTAAGTCAGTCAGTAAAATATTTAGCCTCTTATGATTAGGAAGAAGCCTTCTCTAAAACACTGGTCCCTTGTACAGCATCAAGAGTTTCTCCCGTCATTACCCAAGTTGACTTACTTTGGCTTTTTGGAAAAAGAGACGAAAACAGCCTCTTGGATCCACATTGCAGCTTCTGGCAATTTCTATAATAAACTGCATTACAACTGCTTGGTGTGCTACTTGCTCCATCAGAGCTCTTTTCTGAAAAAAAGTTAAAGTTATGATTTAAAGATATTTCCTGTGATTATATTTCTAAAATTCAGCATAATTTCCTTTTGTTCTAGTTCCTAAACAGATGAGAACTGATGCTCACAGAAGCAAGGGGACTGACAATTAGCTATAACTAGACATATATGTGACAGTGCACTACAGAGTTGTTCTTCAGTAACGTAGAGAGAGGGTGGGAAGAACAGTTAAATAGCTAATCAAGTTGGTCAGCTTTTCTATATTGCAAGTGGGAAACTGTATGCTTTCAAACAACTTAAACGTCTTCTTCATACCTGTTCAGCTTCTAGATGAAAACACCACAACATGAGATATCTAGATGTTTCTTCACATACAAGATATGGGTGATCAGACAAAAATCTTTGACTATCATCCCATCTGCTCAGCATACCTAATAAAAGAAACTTAGTTAAGACATTCTAAACAGATAAATGATTTAATGCAGCAAGGAAGTTACTTGCATTGATACCCCAGTGTATGTAACACCTTTGCAATTCACTAACCTCAGAATGACAGCATGCAGCTAAATTTGGGGGGTTTATTTATACATCTAACCAACACTGAAAGAGCATTACCAGAGGTATAATTAGACTTTGAAGCTACTAAAAGTAGATTTTAACAGTCACAATTTCCTGTATCTTAAGGCATCTCTAGCATCATTGATAAGTTATGTTTAATCAGTTCTCATGTACACTAACAAAGTGGTGTAGGTATCTATTAGTTGCATCATCAAATAGTTTAAAAAGTTTTTGGATATTGACATTCAGCGATTCTGACAAACACAGATCCTCTAAATGTTTGCAAATAAGAATGCAAAGAAAAGAATGTGTAATCTGTGAAAAATGAAAGCGCTTCTAACACATGATTTGCTAGGTTTTTAGGAAATCTGAATTTAATTACCGGAACAGCTTGATCTCAAAAAGCAAAGCCACATCAGTATTGGAAAGTTAACTAGAAGACTGAATTGTGATAGCATGAAGCTACCTTCATGTAAAGAGCTGAGTTTAAAAATCAGAACTCAATACTCAGACGACTTCTTAAAATTGTCCTTCATGTATCACTGACAGTCAAGTCATTACTGGCAACAGGTACTAGATGTACAGCTTTACCCGTCTATCAGCGTATAATTATAACTGGGCTAAAGATAATTCAGTGGTAATGACCTAAGCTAATCTTAATTCTAGCAAACAAATGCCTAAAGAGAAAGCAATGGCTAATATTTCTTTTGGCTGTTTTCAAGAGAGCAGTCCACATAAGTTCTTTATTGCTTGAAAGCCAGAGCAGGATCCAGAAAGAGGGCTCAAGCTAGTGAAGTCCACACTGCCCCTTGGCAGCAGTTAGCACAGAACAAGAGATGTGAAAGAGCATTAATTTACTGTCCCTTTTTACAATGGGCTTAAAATATTTTTAATTAAAATAACAACATGGCTTTGAATTTAGGAGGAAAGTAATTTAGACAGCAAAGTAATTTTGCCCAACTCTTAGCTAGGAAGCCTGCAAGAAAGCCTCTTTTTTTCTGCTGAAATGCACAGCAGAGGAGACGTCTTCTGATTCCGCTATCATTACACGTAGCAGTTAAGATATTTGAGAGAACCTGTGCCTATCACTGCTGTTGGCATACTCTGACAGTGTTGCGCCTCAGCTTGGTACTCGCAAGGCTTGCTAAGGCCAACAGAGCTAGAAACCCTTTCTTTAAAACAGTTTAAGATCTTTAGAAGCCAAATAGCTTAGTAAAAACGAGTTTGTACAAAGAATTTAATTTTGCCAACTCAGTCCTGTTCTTGATTATTCTGGAATTCCAAATATGGCTATACTATACCATAGTCTGAGACCAACCTGTAACTAAGAATGAAAAGCACTCCAGAGAACCATCAGAACTTCAGATTACTTTACAAGATCAGCTTTGTGCTTAATTGGGTTCAACAATTATGACAGAGCTAAAGTGACACCTAGTGGACAATTAAATGTAATTTTAAGAAACGCACAGTTCCATGCACACATACTCTCAGTAGGCATTTACAGACGTTTCCCTTTAATCAGTCATTACCCTTGTAGCTTAATAGTCACCAGAAAAACATTTAGTAAAAAGAGACAGCTATGGACAATCCCATTCACTTTTATACACACAACTTACATTTCCATAAATGTCCCTGCCTTTTCCCACTGAACAGCAGAAAAAGTTGCTAGAACGTCACTTTTCAGGGCTTAAGCTCATTCGAGTATTTGTTTTTTCTTAATTTAAGTTCTTAATTGGTTACAGGAACTAAGAAGCTTCTACAGTTTACACCTTATTTTGCTTTGAAATTATTATCTGTCCTGATAAAATGAAGCTGAACAGTCTATTAGCCAGGTCTTTCATTTGTTAGCATCCATTCTGTACAATAAGGAGCAAACCTACACAAATTCTGTAGAAGTTTGAACTGCAAAATGTTGGAAAAAGCACACTCACCAAAGTGTCTAATCTTTTGTTCATGTTTTTGCATAAGTGGTTCAGACACATCTTCATCTTCTATTTCTTTTCTTTTTTGATTAATAAAACTCTGAGGAAGAGAGAAATGGTACTATCACAGAAACTCCAGACATACCTTTTTGTGATATATAGGAGTATTATATTTTAATATGTTACTATTTAAAGCGCTATGTTCTTACTTTAGAATCATGTCATATACTTGAGAAGGTTTTCTTTAAAAAAAGTGCATTACCTAATCATAGAGTTTAAAAGTCTCATTATAGTCTACTGACCGAAGAACCCTGAGAAACTTCTGTCCTTAGGTAGGAACTTACTGATCTGTCAACAATAAGAATCACGTACATTGCAGCCTAGATGCAGCTGAATCAGTGAAAACAGGAGCTGCGCTAGCTGTTCAAATTAAATTGTGAAATCAAAGCTGAGATTCTACTATAAAAAAAAGTTTGTGCTAAATAATCTGTATTACAGTAGTCATTATTAGAGGCAAACTGACAGTTTCACATTTTAAGAATTTGGCACACGTGCTCTTCATGTGAAGAAACTTGTTCAGCGCATCTGGCAACACTTGCACTACATAGAATCATAGAGTGGTTTGGGTTGGAAGGGACATTTAGAGATCAGGTAGTTCCACCCCTCCCTGCCGTGGTCAGGGAAATCTTTCACTACATCAGGTTGCTCAAAGCCCCATCAAACCTGACCTCTATTGCTTCCAGGGATGGGGCATCCACAACTTCTCTGGGCAACCTGTTCCAGTGTTTCACCACCCTCATCATAAAAAATTTCTTCCTTACATCCAATCTAAACCTACTCTCTTTCAATTTAAAACCATTGCCCCTTGTCCTGTCACTACAAGCTGTTACAAAAAACTCTCTCCATCTTTCTTATAAGCCCCCTTTAAGTACTGAAAGGTCACAATAAGGTCAATAAGGTCTCCCCAGCACCTTCTCTTCTCTGGGCTGAAAACCCCAACTCTCTCAGCCTTTTTTCACCGGAGAGGTGTTCCAGCCCTCTGACCATTTTCAGGGCCCTCCTCTGGACCTGCTCTAACGGGGGACCACAGAGCAGTACTCCAGGTGGGGTCTCACCAGAGCAGAGTAGAGGGGGAGAATCGCCTCCCTCAGCGTGCTGGCCATGCTGCTTTTTATGCAGCCCAGGATATGATTGGCTTTCTGGGCTGGAAGTGCACACTGCTGGCTCATATCTAATACCTAGATGACCCACGCAAGTTCTGATCCGCACTTCTGGTAGCGAAATGTCATCCAGATTTGTAGTATGAGTGCAGCTGGCTCCCTTCCATGAGGCAAAGGAAGAAAAAAATCTCCATTTAACACATACTGTGGTTTTCTGCTGTACTGGACGCAGAAGACACTCAAGACTAGTAACAAGTGGAATGAAAAAAAGAGGCTAACACTTGTTTTCATGCACACTGATATGGGTCATACCTTATTAAATACCTCCTTACTAACAGGATCTGTGTTCCATAGATTCTGTCTTTCCCTCTGGTTTAGTGCTTCTTCTTTTCTTCTCCACTCTTCCTCTCTCCATCTCAACTCTGCAGCTTCACTCTTTGCTTGAGCAGATTCCTGATCGCGGGATTCTGAATTATGCAGTGCTAAGCTACCAAGTTTTTGCTGGGCTTCTGCTAGGTTCCACGTGCATTCTACAGAGTGCTTCACAAACTCTCTTTCTTTTTGGCAGGCTAATTCAATCCCTTGGCTGTATGTCTGTGAGGAAAATCAGACATGCTATTTATAGAGGAAAAATTGACAGTTTACAGTTTGCTTAGGAGCAGACAGGCCAAAATCCCAAAGATAATGCACCTGGAAGGCACCTTAGATATGCAGCGTTATATTCACAGGAGTGATGAAGCACGGTATTGTACAGTTTTTTAGAAAGATTTCTAATTCAAGCTGTCTTTATGTTGTTAAGTGCATTTGCAAAATCATGGATCACGTACTGCTATCAGTAATAGTCGCCAGACTGTAAAAATACTTTTGACACAGCTGAAACCCCTCTGGCTATCTTTGGGCTGCAATGCTAGCAACAGCCAAGCGTGAGAATACTCTGAATATATACTTCTGAGAAGAAAGTATCAGTTTTGTGATGTCAGATCACAACAGTAAAGTAACTGCTGCTGCCTGCATTCCAGTATGGATTAGTACCTAACAGATGGCCAACATCTTCCCTTGAACTGACAGTGGAAGTGGAATTTAAGTTATGAAGTGGCTGAGGCTCAGCACAAGCATATGCTCCTTTTGGTCAAATCTATTGAGGAGGTCACCACTCATAGCTGGGAGAGAAAAGTGACCTCCTAAGCAACAGTGCTTATGTTACCTCCAGGTGTGTGCTGGGAATTCACACTCAGTAACTTAACAAATTATCCTCTAAAGCATATGCCATGCCTTCCCGCCAAAAGCATAGAAAAAACATCCATACCCACTAGTTCCTCAGCCTTCCAGTGCCATATTATGAAATCTGTGGTGCTGATAACCTCTGGCAGAGGGACATGAAGGACAACACAAGTTGTGAAAGATCCTTTGAAGGAAACTTTAATGCAGGTACATCAAAGTTCTTGTGCCAACTTTGTTTCGGAATTGCAGCGTTTTTATTTCTTTTGTAACAAGATGAAAATTTCACTCTTTGGAAAACTAATGTAATGGCAGCTTCTTGCAAGAACACACAGAATTCCTGACAATATATCTCCAAAACGCCGACTTGACCTAGCCAACAGAGAAACGCACCGCCTATGTATCTGCTTTTTAGACATAAGGATGCCGGGATAAGTTCAACCCAGCTCCTTCCACATCACTCGTCAAACGTGGAACTGTTACTCACGGGTGGTGGCAGACGCCAACCCCCCCACCCGCGGCGGCAGCGCAGCGCATCT